TATTTGAATTTTATCCTTTATTTATTATTAATTATATATTTTTATTTTTATTTTTTATTATATCTATTACTTTATTTTTATTTTGTGTTTTATTTCGAATTGAGAGTTTATGATTATATATTTTTTAGATCTAAAATTTATAATTATGATTTAAAGTTTATGATTAAAATTTTATATGTCAAATGATATTGGAATAGATAAGGATAAACTGAGGAGATGTTGTGGTGTAGTCTCGCCTTTTAAAATTATCTCTCTATATAGTTTAAGTATTTATTTTTTATTTTTTATTGATGATATAATCTTATTATTATACTCATAAAATTTTAATCTAACTTTTTAAGTTTACACTCTTTATATAAAATCATATATTCCTTCGTATAAATATTTATAGAATATTTTTCATTATAAGTTAATGAAATAATAACATTTTTTTATGATTTAAACCCTATTTTAAGTATATGATTTATTCCACAATTAGTTTAAGCATCTCCTCATACGAATTAAGTCGGGAGGATTGAATATTAAAATTATTACACGTGGCTTTTTCGTGCTCTCATCTCTCGTCGTTCCTTTTTTATTATTGTTGTCGGCTTAACTTTGCCTTGGGGATAATGGTGGTGGGGTAGGTGGGGACTTGATTATAAATCTGGAAATTTCTTCAGACCCATAGTTGTAAAACTAGCCTTAAGGGTACCACATTCCTTTGGTTATTTATTTACCTCGTTTACTAAACATGTACGTGAACCCGCGTGTCGATTTATCAAACCCCTAAAACAAACCCGTGCCGGCTTTACTCAAAATAATAACAATAATAAGGGACTAAAAAGGAAATTATTCAAATAGTATAACATACCACGTGTTATCGCCACCTGTCTCTTCACGAAAAACCTTTTCATTATCATTTCCCAAAGGTATTTCCTTTTCCAAGTTTAATAAATAAAATTCTTTGATGTGAATTATGCTCCAAGTTTATGATTCTTTTATAGGTCAAATATCGGTTTTTGTCCTTGTATTATCCTTAAGTCGAGATTCAATCCTTCTAATATAATTTGTTACTCAAAATTAGGATTTCCGACCAACTTGATCCGATTCAAAAAGCATATCTCTCTACTCGAATTTTATCTGATATGAGTTTAGGAAGATCTTATTTGACATAAAAATTTACATCCAACCTGGCTCAAATATACAAAAAAATTATTATTTTATTCAACAAAATAGAGACTTAAATGAAAAAAATATATAAAGAGTAACATTATAACAATTATCCCTAAATATATAGAATAAAATTATTCTATTATCCCAAGTTGGGTCAGTGATTTTTAACTTCTAAACTCAAAATTAATTCGACCTCTCCCATTATAAAATCTAACTCGACTCAAATTCAATTTTCTTTAAAGCCAAACTCTATAACATTGAGTCGAATTAAACTCCATTAAATTCATATCAAATTATCATCCATAATTATGATAACATAGTTGGGAATTGAGAATATTTAATAGTGTCTATCATTTGAACTAACTTATCACATTATAAAAGTAAAGAATCAAATTAAAATTAAATATAATATAGGGACCAAAACCAGAATTTGACCCTTTCCATTTACATGGTTAAGGCTAACTCAGATCAAGGACTGATTTTTGTTTCTGTTTCATAGGCGAAAGACGGTAGCTTTATTTCAAGAGGGAAAAGAAAAAAGAATCTTTCTTGTTGGCTGTTGTATTTTCTATCTAATGTTTCCATCGAAAATGGGGTCACAAGCAAGTGAAAACATCAATAGTAGTATAAGTGGCAGCAGCAAAGAAATGGGGAATCTTTCTCTTCAAACAGAGAATTACGCCAGAAATTTATTACAAAGATTTATCTCGAGTGAAACCCAAGCTTCAATAAGAAGTGAAGATGAACAAGAAGAACAAGTGGAGCTGAATCTTGGGTTATCATTAGGTGGTAGATTTGGGGTCGATAAGCATGCAAACAAGCTGAAAAGGTCATCGTCCATTGCTGGTTCGATACCGATTTTTAGAGAGATCGATGATGCCAATCCTACTCCACCGTCTGTTCCTCGCCCAACTCTCATGAGAGCATCTTCTTTGCCTATTGAAACCGAGGAAGAGTGGAGGAAGAGAAAAGAGTTGCAGACCCTAAGAAGAATGGAAGCTAAGAGGAAGATGTGAGAAGCAAAGGAGCTCAAGAGAGGAAAATAAAGCACTTCAAGGTACCTTTCTACTGCTTTATCTATGGAGGATTGTAGCCGTAGGTTTAATCTTAGCTAGTCTAAGTAGCTAGTGCAAGAAAGTACCAATGCATTAATGCACTTATAATTGTCACTGAAGTTGTTGCTAATTCATATCATTGTAATGAGGAATGCTGCTTAGGATTAAACTCTGCGGATCATCATTAGAAGAGAGATTAGTGGAATAGATTAAGGTTTAATCGATGTTGCGAGGAGAACAATCATCCTTGATTTTTCAATAGAAGTGTGCTTATGGTTGTAATCATCCTTGATCGAAGTTGCTTTTACTGCTCCTTGGATTTGCTGGTGAATTCCTTGAGAGTGATTGCATGTTTTTGAATACCCTGAATGTCTTTTGGTATGTTTCAATTGATGTTTGGTAATAAAATGTTGAAGAATTTGACTTCTCCCGTGTCTCATTGCGAACCGCCTTGGCATGTCGGACATTGGTGTCGAGAATCTATGTTCGAAAAGCTGATTACTCATTTGGTAAGGAGTGGATGGTTTTAATGTTTTCTATGATCACATTCATTTCAGGAGCTAGAATTAGTGGTGAAGCAAGAAGCTCCGGTAGTTCCCTATCCTCGCAAGATCAAGGCAATCGAGAAGCTACTGGTTCTTCGGGGACAGAGACGGGTGAAACCAGCAGAACTCCCAGACTGCTGGGCGAAACTAAGGGGAAAGAAGGAGGGCACGCAATGGAGGACATGCCTTGTGTTTTCTCAAAGGGAGAAGGTCCTAATGGGAAAAGAATAGATGGTATATTATACAAGTATGCAAAGGGAGAGGAAGTGAGGATAATGTGTGTATGCCACGGCAGTTTTCTGTCTCCGGCGGAGTTTGTCAAGCATGCAGGCGGTGGCGATGTGGATCACCCCCTTAGGCATATAGTTATCAACCCTTCCTTTGCTTCCCTTTCATAAACCCACTAGAAAATCGATTTTCTGATGTTTCCGAGGACCATTTTTCGACTGCCCCTATTTTGATTCTGTGGTTTCCTAGAAAAAAACATATTTACTGCAAACAAGTACTATATATTGCATTAGTAAACCTGCTTCAGTCAGAGCATTAGAAATGCAAAGTTTGTTATGATTTGTACACACGAGCTGTTCCTTCTAGATCAAGTCATGCACCTATAGAAACCATATTATCTTACTGAAGAAGGTCGAATTCGGTTCAAGCTTCGAACAACTTGCCCCATAGTCGGCCCTGTTTGTGAGACTATAGACTGTGCACGTGAATGTCCAAGTGAACACATCCTGTACCTACTTGCAGAAGCATGAACCCCCACGTGGTAGGTAGGGATAATGGTGGTGGGGTAGGTAGGGACTCGATTATAAATCTGGAAATTTCTTTAGACCCATGGTAGCAAAAATACCATTGGGGACCACCTCCCTTGGGTTAGTTACATATTGTCAATGCGTGAACCCCCACGTGGCGATTTATCAAACACCAAAAATCCCGCCTGTACTGTCCTTGCCGGCTTTCCCCAACAAAACGAAAAAATAATTAAAAAAGGAGGCTAAAAAGTAAATATTTAAATATTACATACCATGTTATCGCCACGCGTCATATCATTTTCTCTTTTAATAAATAAAATTCCCTGATGTGAACAATAATCCAAGTCTATGAGCTTAATTATGGTTTTGATTGTTTGATCATCCTTACGTTTTTTAATATAATTTTTATATAAAATATTAACTGATGAAGACTTCCCCCCCCCCCCGAAATTACTCTTCTAAGTAGGCTGGATCCGGTTTGATTTTTTATTTTTTAAGGTTAGTTATGATAATTCAATCTAATTAAGTTTATATTGATTTTTATTTTTGATTAAATTTTATCTTATCAACATAACTTTATTTCATAATTTTTTAACATTACTCAGTAAAGATATTTAAAAAATCATAAATATATTTTTAAAACTCTTGAAATATAAATCGTCCCAAGTGGTGCTGATAATCTATTGCAAAGCTTCATCCCAAGTGAAACACAAGCTTCAACAAGAAGTAAAGGTGAACAAGAAGAGCAAGTAGAGCTGAATCTTGGGTTATCATTAGTTAAGGAGGTAGATTTGGGGTTGATAAGCATGCAAATAAATTTAATAGCCCATTGTCCGGTGCTAACTCTCATGAGGGCCTCTTCTTTGCATATTGGGACCGAGGAAGAGTGGAGGAAGAGTTGCACACCCTATTAAGAATGGAAGCTAAGAGGAGATGTGAGAAACAAAGGAGCTCCAGGGATGAAAATAAAACACTTCAAGGTACCTTTCTGCGGCATTGTCTATGGGAGGATCGTAGAAATATTGGTTGATTAGGATCGATTCTGGGACCGGCATTGACTTAACACTTGACACCAAGTCTTTTGCCATTCCATAGTTTCTTAGATACACAAAGCATTTCATATAGATAGTGATTTTGATGATTCTTTTAGTTAGTCATTCGTAGTTTCTTATTCGAATTCGATATTGATATCAACTAGGAGTTGGTAGTATTAGTACTTACCATTCTGAATCACATTATTCATTGCAGGAGCTGGAAGTAGCAGTGAAACAAAAAGCTCCAGTAGTAACCTATCCTCGCAATATCAAGGTAATCGAGAGATTACCAGTTCTCCGGGGACAAAGACAGTGGAACTGGCAAAGCTCCGCGACTTGTAGGCAAAACTCTGTATATGACGGTCAAAAACAAGGGGACAGAACAAGGGCGATGGAAGATATGCCGTGTGAAAATTAGGTTATGAGCAAATCATAGTGAGAACTCGGCACAGCAAATAAGGAAAATATTATATTGCAATGGCAAACCTGCCTCAGCCAAAATCACAAATGCAAAGTTATGATTTGTACACTTGAGCTTTTCCTTCTTAGATCAAGTCATGCAACTATAAACTATATCATCATACGGAAGAAGGTTGAATTCGCTTCAACCGTCGGAGAACTCGACTCATAGTTGGCCTGTTTGTGAGACTATCGACCGTACACGTTATGGCCAAGTGCAGCAGTTCCACCAAATCATCTCGAGGACCTGTTTCCCATAACCTTGTAGTGAACACATCCTTTGCTTGACCCTGTCGCAGCAGCATGCAGGCCCAAGAGACGATATTGAAACCGTTTGCATGAGAGGAGAATGATGGATCGAAAGCCTTCTTATCTGATATCAACTCGAGCAGCACAATGCCATAGCTGTAAACATCAGCCTTCTCGGACACACGGCAGGTCATAGCATACTCGGGTGCAACGTATCCGAACGTGCCGGCTACACCAGTTGTTGCGTGGGTTTCAGAGGAACCCAAAAGCCTTGATAATCCGAAGTCAGACAGATAAGCATTACAATCATTGTCCAACAATATGTTACTCGGCTTGACATCCCGGTGCAGTACCTTTGGGGTGCATTCATCATGTAGATAAGCAAGTGCATGGGCTATATCCAAAGCAATCTTGTGAATAATCATCCAATCTACAGCTCTTGTGGACCTTTCCTTGATAAAATTTTCTAAATTACCACCCGGTAAATAATTATATAAGAGAAACATCTCTGATTCACTGGCATGGTACCCTATTAGAGTTACGAGATTAGGGTGCCGCATTGTTTCGAGAGTTTTTACCTCAGCATGGAACTGCTGAATACCTTGGAACCTTCCAACAGCAAGCTTTTTCACTGCCACTAGGGTTCTTGGAGCTACTTCAGCCACGTAAGTGGAACCGAAACCTCCATTTCCAATGCGTTTGCCGGCACTGAAATTCCCGGTTGCCTGGACAATAGTTTCATACGTCAGTGGAACCCCAATGTCGACAAAAACCATAATTTCCCTTGATTCAGAAACCTGAACCCTGGACTTCGGAACCCATTTCCTGGTGTAAAAGAATAGGATGACTAGAACTAGAAGAACTGAAACAATGGCTGAGGCAGATGTTATGGATGCAATCTCAATGGGATCTAAACTGTTATTGGCAGTTGTGTTACCCGAAGGAGGAGCTTCTGCATTTTGTGAATCTTCAGTGTTGGCTGTCAGATCATCTGTTTGTACAGACGGTGAATCTGATGAAAGTTCTGACTCTTTGAGGGAACGAAACCGTCCAAAGCTAGAAGGAACGGCACCACTTAGGTTGTTGCTTCCCACGGAGAGGTGTTTGAGATGTTTCAACTGGCAGAGCCCTTCAGGAACTGGACCTCTAAGTTTGTTACCGCTCAGGTCAAGTAAAACAAGGGACTTCAAGTCCACGAAACTTTGAGGAATCACTCCTTCAATCTGATTCTCAGAGGCATCCAAAAATCTAAGGGATCTGCAGATTTCACCAATTTGGGATGGAATATGACCGGACAATCTGTTATTGCTAACATTAACAATCATCCCATGGAGCTTATTACAGTTTCCAAATAAACTTCCTGGGAATGAACCGGTGAGATTGTTTCCACCGGCAAGAAATGCATAGTCAATTTGCTTAGCCAGTCTTGTCGGTGCAATCGGTAGCCATGGGAGTGAACCGGAAAAGTTATTTCCACCAAAATTGTGAAACAGCGCAGCTCTCAAACCCGAAAATGGCAAAATCGTTTGGAGATGTGTTTTATATGTAAAGAATGATAGATAAGCAGTTGCTGGATCACGGGTTTGGAGAAGTTCAGAACTTAAGGAGAAAATACCGGGGCAGACAGCGAAATTAAACCTGGGGATTGATCCCGACATGAGGTTCCCACTGATATCAAAAAGTGTCATGCAAGGAACATGAAGATTCTCATCAAGCTCTCCAGTTAGCCTGTTTGAGCTCAAATCTAGATGGCGTAGTTTCTTGCATCCATGGAACACTCCAAAGAGATCCCCATCAAAGTGGTTCTGAGCTAAGTTTACGATTTCCAGGTTCTCACAACCACCCCAATTTCTCCGTAGCTTCCCTTCCAGATTCGCCCCGGGCACCCAAAGTACTTTAAGCTTTGGAAGGGTTGTGATTCCCATTGGAATGGAGCCTTGAAAACGATTATACTCATCGGTAGTAGAATACAGCAATCTAAACGACAGCTCTTGACTTGAATCCTGCCCTCTCAGCACGGGATCAAAGAGACTAGATAGCACAAGAACGGACAACCGAACACAATTTCCAAGCTCCGTGGGGATAACACCGCTAAGATTGTTTCTAGAAACATCAAGAACCTCAAGCTTATGCAGCTGGCCAAGCTCACTAGGAATAACACCATCCAACATGTTGGAAAACAACAGAAGAGTCCGTAACCGCTGACAATTCCCCAAACTACCAGGAATACTCCCAACTAGGAAATTCCCCGACATATCAAGATGCTCTAGAAACCGATTATTACTTCCAAAACAATCAAGAATCGACCCGTTTAGCTGATTATTAGACAAATGAAGCACTTTCAAATTACGAAAACTACCGAAATAACCAGGTATAGACCCCTTCAGCTTATTCCCAGCTAAGTTCAAAACCTCCAAGTCCACAAACTTCGACAAAGACCCTGGAATCTCGCCATCAAGTTCATTAAACCCGACATTGAAAATCCTCAAATTTCTCAACCCCACAAATTCATCAGGCAACTTCCCAGTAAATGAATTCCCTTCAAGATCAAGTTGTTCCAATTTCTCTAAGCCCCAAATTTCTAAAGGAATTTCACCACCGAACTCATTAAAAGCAAGAGATAAAACTCTAAGCTCAGTAAGTTCCCCAACCAAAGGTGACAAGTTCCCCACCAATTTCCCCTTTGAACATGCTCTTCTCCTCAATCCAAAACCGTAAAATGGAAACTTAGACAGCTTTGACGAGCTAGAACAAGCTCGAGTAAAGTTACCTTCACAACAGCCACCAGATATGTCGATGGAGATGACCCGAGACCTCGAATTGCAGGAAACGCCGAACCAAGAGCAGTGATTCGGGTTCTTTGAAAAGTTCCAGCTTGAAAGAATCCCAGAAGGGTCAAAAACAGAGGTTTTGAACTCTAATAAGATCCTTTTCTCAGGAACCATCTTCCCTGAAACCAAGTAGAAGACAACAAACAACTGAAACAAAAACAAGACCGTACCTTTCCACAACAGATGACAACATTTCATGTTTGTTTCCCAAGAAAAAAAAAACAAAAACAACCCAACAAAGAAAGGATCCCCCTTTGTTATTGAACCAGTCTACCCAAAGTCCCAAAAAAACCACTCTTTTTTTGCTCCCCAGAGGAAGAAAAAACTTGATTTTTTTTTCCCTGGAAACAAACAACAAAATTATTGAGAGGGCATTCGAAGATGAAAACTGCGTTCCTTTATTTAATTTTTGCTTTATTGGGTCGTGTAAAGTCTGGGTCTTTGAGGAGCTTTTTTTATGTATATTCCTTTTTCCTGGAAATGCAGTAAAGGTGGGAGAGGGGGCCTAGAGGTGAGGGTGGTGGGGTCCATATGCCGGTCAATTAATGCATCAGAACCGTCAATGCACGGCGGCTCCGGAGAAGACCAGATGGAAACTTGTGGGTCCTTCTTGTTGTTTTTTTACGTGGAATATGTTGCCTAATGCCCGCTCAGTTTAGAAACCAGCGGTGTCGTTTTCTTTCACGGTGGAAAAATCCAAAAGGGAAATGAAAAGGTGAAAATGAAAACTAGGTGGGAAATTTGACTATATTATGCTAACGCCACCCTATCGCCACCGTGACGCACCCGAAGGATAATGTTTAATATTTTTGTTTATTTGGCCGGTTTACTTTTAACAATGATTTAAAAACCGGATTAATCAGGAAAAAAACCCGGATCGGGTTAACATGGTTTGACATAGACTCTATGAGCATCCTTATCCCAGTCTTATAATAATAAATATTATATGTTCAAATTTGTGAATCCGATTTTATTTAATTTCATTTGAAATTTTTATCTCATTTAATGGAAAAATAGATTAGAAGAAAAAAATGAAGATACATATGTAGAGTCTATTCTCTAGTAATGTTAAACAATTATACTTAATAAAGATTATATTATTCGTACAATTATATATCTAAAATTCTTTTAATATATAAATTGTATAAAAATTTATCTTTCTTAAAACTCATCAAGTGACCTTAATAATAAAACAAAGAGTTAGTTCTTTTGAGTTTAAGTACCTATATTTAAATAAATCACATGATTAATGATGGAAAAAATTTAAATTTTTAGTAAAATCATTATCCTAAATTAAAAAGAACTCAAGCCAAATAAATATTAGATATTATCATATTTAAGTCTCGAAAACTTTGAAAATAATGATTTCACTAGAAAATTTTTTTTTCTCATTAAAAATTATGTGATTTGTTTGTGTAAAATTAATTTTTTAATTTAAAAAAAATCTTAGTCATATACAAAACTAACTTAATTGCTTCAACGGTATAAAAAATATCTAGATAAAATAATATTCACAATTTTTTTTTATTATTTTAAGCTTTGTTGTGATATTTTTTTTATAAAAAAATGTTGCAATTATTGTGATGCAAGATGTGGCTGTAACCATGTGAAGATGGGATGGACAAATAAATTTATTTCAATAATTTAAAACAATTGAAATCTTATAAGATATCACACCCATTACAGCTAAATCTCAATGACATTAATGTTTTGATTGGGCCATCTTATCTTTAATTGGTGAACCGAAAGCCTTTGATGTGGATTTTATTCAATTCTCGTTATATTTTAATTAAATATTCAAAATATTAATATTATATTAACTAATTATTTTATAATTCAATTAAATAAAACTTGAATCTAACGGACTAGTTTATAAATTGTTTATGCTTATTTCATAGATAATTTAAATATATCGTATTTAAAGAGTCATTTATTTTCTTTTAACAGGTCAAATCTCATTTGTTTATGTAATTAATATGCATATATTTATAATTTAATTTACACGTTCTAAAAATATTTGATTTTAAATTTAATTTTATATTTAACTATTGAGGTACAATTGTTTTTATGGTATAGTTTTGCCTATCATTATGATAATTTAACGTTTTGTGTTACATTTACCAATACACCTTCTGATTAGGAAATGTGACAGTTTCATATACTTATATATCTTTTTATAGTTGTTTGTCTATGCAATAAAAAATAATCGTGAAGCAACCTGTCAGGCTTATTTCCTCAATCTCCACTCCTTTGTCGATACTGCATTTAGATTATTGACAGTTACTAGATTTTTGTGGAAGATATTTGTTTTTGTGTGTGGAAGATAATACATATATTTAAGGGAAGGTTTTAATTTTATATTTTTGTACCCTTTGAGTTTACGTGTTGATGTTGTGTTGCTTTTATTGTTCCTTACCTTTTCTTTTAACGAAAACCTAATTTTATTGAAAAAGAAAAACTATTAAGATACAATTAAATTTGCATTCATGATAATCGTAGTGTGATTAAAAATAGTATGTATCCGAAATTTAAATTTCGGATTTGGATAGTCCGAAAAATCACAATTAAGCAAAGTTAGTGAGATAAATCTAATGATACTAATGTATTAGTGAACCAAGGATACAAATTACAGAGCTATATACATTCAACATAAAGACTGACTAATAGTTAGAGACCATCTTCAAAGTCATGTATAAGGGAAGATGATATACCCCTTCCCATTGCCTCATTAGGCATTTCTCTTTTTTTTTCACTGGCAAAGGACTCAATTTCTGACATGATTATGCATATGATATAAGAAAATACATGTGCAAGTTCATGATGAGAGCCTTTGAAGTTATGGAGGTGTCATGATTTGATTAAATTAGCTAACAGATCAGTGCAAACATCCACAAGGCATTTGTTTTACGGCGGGGAGAGGGCGGGTGCCACGGTTCGAGAGTTTTTTTTTATCAGCTACATTTTCCTCGACAACAACGGCTACAAGCGCTACGCCAATGCCAATTGCAGCATTTCCATTGCAGTATACAGCAAGGAAAACAAGAACATTTGTCATACCAAGACGATGATTTGGAGGGTGCTGCAGATTCACAGCCCTTTTGTTCTTCTTTTTGTTGCTGTTGTTCTTGCTGCTGTTGGTTCCCCTTTTCTTTCTTGGAAATGACATTTCTGCCGCCATCCAAACTGCAATGATCCAATATAAATTTAGTTGACAGGTTCTCTTCACCATCTAAATTGTTTATGACAGTCCAAACATATGTCATTCATGAGCTAATACGGGTGCATTAAGTACAATGTCTAGTACTTCATACATGGTTAGCATAGAGGTAAGGAGAAGCATACACCGAACAAGAGCCACGGCACCATCTTTTTACGCTACGGTTCCAACAGTAGCATGATAGTCGTGCATCTTTCTCCTGCAACGGAAAAGGAGTATATTCCTCATCTGGGAAGCATTAGGCTCAAATTTTCTATATTATACATGTAAAGTTTATACATGTATGCATGGTGAATACGTAACCGTATCAGGCTCATATGAACAAGTCGTAGACCCCAGGGAAAGGGGTTAAGGCATCTTCTTTTGCATGGTGGAAGTAATATTTAGTACAGTATGCAGCAATAAAGTGCAAGGAAATTTTCAAATAGAAAGATTTCTTTCTCATAGTTCCGTTTATATCTAATACTCCATACATGTTAGACATAGAGGTAGGGAGAAAGAGAGAAGCGCACACAGAACAAGAGTGACAATACCATCTTTTTATGTTACGGTTCTGACAGTAGCAGAACACCCTGCTATCATCGGAACAGTAGCATGATGGCCGTGCACCCCCCTTCTCTCTCCTGTGACAGGAAACACGTATATGTTCCTGATTGTGCAAGCATTAGGCATGAAATTTATATATGATTATACATACATGTAAAGGTTATACTTGTACATGTATCAGGTTCACGTTAACTACATAGACCACAGGGAAAGCATTAAGCGTCTTGTTTTGTATGGAGAAAAAGTAATACTGAGTGCACATTTTGTATTCATTCCACAAGCATATATAACAAAGTGAGCATGTGATGGTAAAAAGTAGGATAATTGCTGATATAGAATGCAATTAACTTACATTGGAAAGGCAAAGGAATGTACACTGGCTCCAGTTTCAACGGAAAGACGAGAAGGGCAGGGTGAGTTCCAGAAATGTTCTGGCTTTTCCCCAGTTGGTTCTTCAGCACTTGGCCTTGTTTTATCCTTCACGGTATAATCTGATAACTTGTCAAATTCAACACCCGCTTTGCCAGGGTACGGTGGAGATGCAGCTGGTGAAGTACTTAATAACTCATCTTCGAAAAATTCCCCAGATTTGAAGTTTAGAAACTGCTCTCTGGAGAAACTAGTGTTCCCTATTTGGATGCTAAACAATGACTCGTTAGAAGCAATACTCCAACTTGCGGGATTTGTTGATTTACTTCTATCGAATACCGAAGAGGGAACCCTATAAGGATCTAATCCTTCTATGACTCTGTCCATCACTTGGATTGGAGGAGATTGTATCAATGTTGATTCATGCAGATTTCTAGCAACTGGAGATTCAGATGTTGCACCACCAGAAACATGATGTTCACCATCAGGTTTACCGTAAGAAGTCGAAGCTATGCCTGATCTGGGCTCTGACGGTTCTGTATTAGCTTCAAAGTGATTTTCCATAGATGAACCAGTAGACCGTTCAGATGAGATGCATTTACTAGTTTCTTTCAATTGATCACTAGTTCCGGAATTCCCACTCGAACCCCTCCGATTTCTATTTTAGGCGACAAGTTCCCGTTTTCTCAATGAATGTTCACTGATTCCACTCCCATCACTTTCTTCTATGTCTGTTTTTGAACTCTTACTGGCTCCATTCCCATGTCCAATGTCCATAACATGAAAGGAACTATGTGAAATCCCAAATTAGGTCTCCATTTTCAAGAAGAGGTTGGAGATTCACATTTCAACAGCTCCAAACATTGCCTAGTAACATAAAAACCCAGGAAGGGATAAATGGATTTTTTTATTTTTTATTTTTTGAAATGCAATGAATCATAGCTTAACATTAATTCAGAAAAATTAATGAATCCGTTTTTCAAATTGATGCTTTTAACAACTTCTTTTTATTAAATTGGGGGAAACGCTAATACATACAGGAAACCGTTAAAAATTTTAAATCATATATCTGACAAAGAAATTAAAGAAACTTCGCTATCGAATTTGAAAATTTGATAACATGAAAATCATTGCAATTTGAGAACAATTTTCTTCACTAAATTCATCGAACAAACAAATTTGTCTGTGCATTATTGAAGAATAAAAAATTTAATTCCAAATTAACGAGTGTTTTCATCATGAAGATATGTTACAATTATCATCAAATCAGTCGATCAAGTAATATTTATAACAAAAAAATTCAAAAAAACGTAA